GTTTGTGTGACTGACTACTGTCTGGTAGCAAAGTTCAGCTCACTCCAAAGCACACACAATCAAGCAAAGAGTCAAACATGCCACAAAACATGACAAGCATCTGTACAACTGTTTGTATGTGTGGGTGCGTGTGTGTCCGTGTGCAGCTAAGCATGTGTTTTCGCACACTTTGTACTCACTTGCCGTCATATACGTGCTGCAAATGTGTCAGACAGATGCTTGTTCATATTTCAATGTCTTGTGCCGGGAAGAAACGTGTTCGACTTGCCGACGACTTGTGTGATTTTTCAGCTCTCTCGCCAGTCCCCTACGCCCAACCGCCACCTCATCGTCATCATCATCGTCCGTTGTGCTTTGTGTGTGTCTTTCATTTTACGGTTTCTTCATGCAAGTTCACGCACTGATTTTTATTTGTATTTGTATTTGTATTTGCTGTTGAAAAAGTGAGCATCAAGCGCTTGCTGACAACTTGCCATACAACATGGATAAAAGCTAAGAGCAAACGCACACAGACATACATTTGTTAGTGTCAACAGACGAGGCTGTGCGTCGCACGCACTGTTTGCACGCCCCTGCGCTGCGTAGAAGGGGTGGCAGTAGCCGGGCTTATTTTATTGACGCACTTCGTTAATCAGCTCGCTCTCACGTCCACGCTTTGTGTGGTTCCTCYATCCTTAAGCATATTCCGTTGGCGAAGAGCTGATAGCATTTCCTATTTTATTATTAGATATTCATTGGAAAGTCAATCATAAAATTGTTCCTTACTGTGTTTAAAGCATATTTTCTTAAAGAAACCTTTATGTGTTATACGAAATCTGCCACCAACCAGCGGCTGCCGTGTGATTCCGAGCAATATGGCAGTCTTCTTGACTTTAGAAAGTCGGTATATTTTGGAAAGTCTGGCCGATAACATTGTCATCCATAACTTTATTGAAAAGGCCTCTTATAGTATGAGGGAAAATATTTTGGAGTCATTGTTAAAGCCCAAAAATACGACTCATCACCAGATAGTTCTCTATTTAAATGTGATAAGGAAGACGAAAGAARGTTCTAATATAAACAGTCGTACCATTTTACATACGTTGAACTWCCGTAAGTGCTTTCAAGCCTAGATTACCACCAAAAGATCGCTTGGAGACTGTGCTAAAGGCAAGTAAACTGATTGAGTTACTAGGTTAGCTTATGTTTAAGCTTATTAAGCTCCTATGTTAGGTTAGGTTTAGTAGGTATTTTCACCTCGATTACCTTCAGAACATTTGCTTTGAGCGGTAGCACAAATATCAGATCCATATGAAGGTTGGTTAGGTGAGTCTGGTGGTTCTGTTGGGTTTTTATCTTGAAGTGATTACAGTTCCAGTGTCGTTACGTAGTTAATGAAAATCATCYTTTAGAAAGCCAGGGTTTGACGACAAATTCAATAGCTCTTTCAATACCTCACACCATTGCGTTGTAGGATATTCCATCGAAATTTAACATACTTGCTATGGTTTTGTCCATATCGCATACAAATGTCGGTAGTCATACACCTCCYAGCAATTACTCTGCTATCTCATTTTCATAGATTTTTGTGTTTCATGGTATCCAAAGAAGTAATTTTGACTTCATACCGGATTACTTGGATCCCGTAGTCGCCAAACCGAACTCTGCCGGCTCCTTCTCTACCCACATACCGGTGGATGGGAGTTTGGAGGCAAGATTGGTCGAGGAGTCTACAATYGGGAACTCTCACCAACTCCACTTTCAGACTTTCSGAATATTGCAGTGTCTTCCAGGCAGAGGTTGCAGTCATTAAGGTAGCAGTGGATTTTCGGAGTGCAGCTCCTTCATAGAAGTGACCGCCCACTCAGTTAGCAGAGCGGCGATACTTGCCTTGAACGCATTAACGGTGTGTGAAGGGTGCCTAACTTAGCTTATATCAAGGTAGAGCAGTTACTACATAAGACTGCTGCTTCAAATATCAAAAATCCAACAGGCAACAGAAAACACGTTTGATACAGAATTTTTTCATTAGCTAAGATCTTGTGGGGAGATTCTGATCACGACCACCGAAAAAATAGCAAAGGCAGGGTCTTGCTTGCYTGGCGAAGGTAATTCGGAGTTCTCTGTAAACATTCAAATCTTAGTCCTCTAAGACTTAAAAGAATCTTGAACCCTAAAAGGTTTTCTGCTTAGATGCGTACGAACTTAATTCCCTGTGCTTACAAAATTTATTAAACATCGCCTTCGATTCATTTTGAACWAATTTTAGCCACTGATTACACATTTGTCTAATTTATTTACCGTTGAAAATATTTTAGGTGACATACCACCTCCCCACACATTGTTTTTCAATACTTGCAAAGTTTTGTTTATCAAATCAGGGAAAATTTATTAAACTCGGATGGAAAAACACATAAATTTATGCGCATTTGTGTGCGCACACACATTGACATTTCATTAAAAGAAAAAACGTTGCTAAAACTTTCTCCGCATACTGAGGACAACAGCCAGTGCAATAAGTGTGAAAAACATTCCAGGCAAACTTAAGTTTTCTGCAAAGTTATGTCATCGYGCCACATTTTTTTACGCTCGCCTCATGTTACCTTTCTGCTATGCACGTACATAGGTGTGAGTGTGTGTAAGTTTGTTGCTTATTTTTCTCGATACGTTAATCTTGCATAAAAATTGATGGCTCGTTTGTTGCTGCAGCCAACTTCTGCTGGTGCAACATGCTGCCGTGGTTAAATTATATCTGTTTTTGTTGTTGTCCCTACTGTCCTTGTTTTTCATATGCCAGTTTGTGCTTGCTTTGTTGTTGTTGCTGTACACATTTGTTGCTTTTTGATGTGCTTTTTCTTGTATTTCTTCACACATGGTTACGTTGTGTCCTCCATGGCGTATGTGGAATTTGTCATTAGGTGTCAGCGGGCTGCCAGCATGCAGAGACACAAACTTTTGTCAAACTTACTTTTGATCGTTATTAATATGAGTTTGACGCCTGCAGAAGTAGCATCGTTGACAAGGACGGAAAGGATGTTATATAATCCAGAACAAACGGTTGGGGAGAATCGCCAATTTATGTGGGTTCTTGTACTTGGTGCGGTAGGATTGTGCACCAACAGACCTCTAATTTGTCATTATTTGCGTAACCAAATTTTCACTGTTCGAGTAAGTGGGAAACAACTGTTTTGATCCAACCCCGGGGGTTGGACTCAAATGTAGGTTTAGGTATGCATATATAGGGCCTTTAATTATGAATGTATTTTCTTTAATAATCAGACTTGCTGTTACTTATATGTATCACAAACTAACTAAAAATAAGTAAATCAAAATAAAGTCTCCCTAGATTAGTTTACCAATACCCACTCCTGATTGAGAATATCCTCTAGGAATGAATGGAGAAAAACATTCTGTAGAATAGATCAATCTGTATCGACGGTTCCTGCGGAATAAGGGTGGGTGTATGCTATGATGATCTCGAAATCTCTCTCTCCATCATTTTCTCCGATTAATAAACTCCGCCACCATCTTCTAAACGGAAGTACTAGGTACAGAACGATCCTGTTAGCCCTTCCCTTAACGTACGTTGGACGAGTTGGTGAAGCTAGGAGGCTCTTTAGATGAATCCGGAGCGGAGTTAATACTATGTCCGCGGGAAAAGATCGAAATCGAGCTTTTACTCACTTTTAGCAAATACCTCAGTGCAGATGGAAAGCAATAATTTTCAGGTTTACAGCTACTATAACGGGTCASTGTTCCTCGAGAGAACATTGGCCATAAAGAGTTCGTTCGGAAAGTAATAGGACTGATTTTTTTCCGCCGCGACTGTAGTTTAGAGCATGCGCTCATCGACTGGATTCGGTAGAGGGCGTTCCTAGCTAACGACCGAGCGGCTGGTCTGGTTGTTTCCGAGCACTTGGAGAGTCAGCACAAACATTTTCGCGGGACGTGTTTCTGTGAATAGTGCAAGCCGAAAATGCAGCGGTCGTTAGAGCAGAGAAATCTGCGACAGAGACCTTTGATATGATCAAGCAGGCTTACTCAGATATTGCTTTGGCAAGAAGTGGTATGTTTCAGTGGCACCAGGCCTCGGATCCGACAAGTCATCGCAGCCGATTTTAGGTTGCACCAGGACAACGCCCAGGCATCACAACCCTTCCGCAGCCACCCTATAGCTCAGATGTGGCCCCCGGATTTTTTTCTTTCCATGAAAGGAGATACAAGATATTCCAGGAAATGCCTTCCTCGACAACTTCAATGCTTGGAAAGAGCCTGCTTTGAAAGTTTTTAAAGAATTGTAACGATTGGTTCAATCATTTTTTTTAAAACGTGCGTTCTGAAAATATTATTATTTTTAGTCTATGGATCGCCCCTACGACCAAACCTTAGCTAATCTATCCTAATGAAGTCTGGTCTAATTCATATACAAAATTTTCTCGATATAATAGGTTGTACTCTCATCTATTTTCGATCTAGCAAGTTATAACCTCTTCCGTAGCTTTGGAACCTTAAAAAAGTGCCAGTGGAACTCTAACACCGCCTCATGGAATTTTTTTCTGTATGATGAATCAAAGGGTTCTCAGCCGGCCCTTTACGAATTTGAAGATAACTATCTGACAATACGCTGTTCCTTTCTAAATTTACTATGAAGGGTGAAGTGAAAAGCTTTTCAATTTTGATACATTTGTAAATGAATGAGAAGCCCTAAAACTTGAACTTTTTGTTGGTATTTGCCAAATTCAACATGCTGTTATCTTGTAAGAATAAGACATAATAATACTTAATCCTCTCCATCACTCTGACATATTTTAAGCTTAAGCAAGACTAGAATAACAAATAGTTCCTAAATCCAGGACTGTTCATCTCCACACTTTAATTCCTGTCGCCAAAAATAAGCAATAAATATGTTAATTTATATTCACCTTAACCTCAACCGTAGGCTTCACATAAACACTTTACCTATAAAGACTTTCCTTCCGTCTCTAATGCGCTCTTCTGCTTTTATCTCTTTATATTCGCAGGTGGCGTGGATGCATTTCGAACAATCGGCCATATTGACCGTTCACAATCACGTGATCACGCGTAATCCCCGCATTAGTGTCACACATGACAAGCATGACAAACATCGAACATGGTTCCTGCATATCAATAACATACAGGAGGAGGATAAGGGCCGCTATATGTGTCAAATAAACACGGTGACGGCGAAGACACARTACGGATTTGTCAAAGTTGTTGGTAAGTCTCCACTCAGGCGCTGGCGCAAGCCAAAAAACCCTAAATGAATAATAAAAACCAAATTTACACAAATAAATGTGCACAATATGGGCCGCATTGGACCACTGGGGGCCAACAAACATTTGCGTTAATAAATGCTTAACAAACAGAAGTTCGACGCCGTAAGCATTAAGGAAAAAAATTGTTGTTATTTTTCTTTTCCACGCATACGTGTGTTTACATGTTTATTTATGTGTTTAACTTGGTTTGTTGTTAGTTTGTGACAATGCAGCACGTACTCATTTGTTTACTTAAGCGCAGCTTAACTAACCGCACCAAAGTTGTGGGTGAGCGAAAAGAATTCTGGAYGCCGTGTACTTACATACATGCATTAGGGTGCTCAAACAAACAAATTTATTTACTTTTTTTAACTCCTACAATCTTAAATAGTTCTTTGACCTAAAAATAATCGTTATCGAAAAAAGGAGACAAAAATTGTACATGCATTAGGGTGTTCCAAATTATTATTTCATAATTCTTTTCTAATTCTAATTCTTTTTATTTGTGATTAATTTCTAATTCTTTTTATTTGTGGTAAAAACTATCGTCATCGAAAACGAGCCTTATTACTCAATCCTCAACCGGTCGCTTTCTCATAGAATTAACACTGGAGAAGTCGTTTTCTCATTGAAATTAAATTTAAGTAATTAATTTAAATTCCTTTAGCATTACAAAAGTATGATGACAAACTATGATTATCCTCGTCAGATGAGTAATTACAGCCTTTTAAAAGCTCATAAATATCCGAAATCATAAGTGTATATACACATAAGTAAATATAAAAGTATTTACCATGAATAAGTAGCAGARGTAAATTACCTTTCAACATCCATGCTATGGACCTAAACTTTRGACGGTTTTGAAAAACATGACGAAATCAAGAAGGAAAAGGTTTAGGAGTTTAGAGGTTGTCTTTCAAAAAGTCTGTTAAAACCATTTAATATTAATGTCAAGGTAATGACAATAGTAAAAAAATTGAAATTTTAATGGTAATGTTAGAGTGTTAGCAATAGTAGAGGTAATGCTAATGTAATGGTAATGGCAATTTTAATAGTTTTGGTATTGTAAACKGAATAGAAATTTCAATGTTAACGGCAATGCTAAGGCAATGAGAATTTTAAAAGTAAAAGTAATGTAATGTTAATAGTAATAGTGGCGTTATTGGTAGCGAAATGGTAATTTTAATATTAGTGRTAACAGCAACGGTAATGATATTAGTAATGTTACTGCTATTGATATTGTTAATGGTGATGGACCAGATAGAAGAGTTTATAGGAGAATTAGCCAATTTTTCAAAACTCCTTTTACAAAAATTTTAAGTATTAATGTTAWTGTTAAATTAATGATAAAATTTTTAATAATGGTAATGAAGTACTARTGATAATGACAGTGACAATAGTAATGATAATGATAGTGGTAATTTTATTTGTAATAGTAATTTCAATAGTTTGGTATTGTAAACAGTATTGAAAATGCTGAGTTATTGGTAATGTCAAGGTAATGGCAGTTGTTGTAGTCATGGTAATGGGATGATAATGAGACTGATAATTTTGGAAAAGTGGGCGTGGCCCCGCTCAATACTAACTTTTTTGTACATATTTCGAAAACTACTATAGCTATGTCAACCAAACTGTATAGAGTTGTTTCTTTAAGGCATTTCCATGTACAGTTCAAAAATGGAGGAAATAAGATAATAACCACGCCCACCTCCCATACAAAGGTTATGTTGAAAATCACTAAAAGTGCGTTAACCGACTAACAAAAAACGTCAGAGACACTAAATTTTACGGAAGAAATGTCAGAAGGACGCTGCACCTAGGCTTTTTTAAAAATTGAAAATGGGCGTGGCGTCGCCCACTTATGGACCAAAAAACTTTTCTCAGGAAGTACTTAACCGATTTCAATGAAATTCCGTATATAATATTTTCTTAACACCCTGATGACATGTGTCAAATATGGGAGAAATCGGTTCACAACCACGCCTGAAATCTCGATTATCACTTTATCATGCGAGAGTCTAAAATGTTCGGTGACACCCGAACTTAGCCCTTCTTTACTTGTTTTTAATATAATATTGCCATTTAAAACTTCTCAGCATTCCAATATCCAGAAAATTTAAATAGTTTTGGTACCTATTTTCTTATTTCGTATGAAAATTGCTTAACGTTCCAAATTATTCACCCTAAACATTCTTTACCTTAAAGCAAGCAAGTGAAATAATGCCTTACAATGGCAAACAGTCTTTACACTCTCAAAGGCTCACACCCCAGAGGGAAGTATCCATTATTTGGTTGTAAAACTTTTCTTACAATTTTTATGGAATCATTTCCGCTTTTGCTACGAAATTTCATACAATTTTTTGTGGCCAAATAAACGCGTTATAAAAGCACTTCCACCATGTGCGCGTGTGTGTGGGTATTTGTTGTGAATCAGAAGAACTATATTGGAGCATAAAAATCACATTACTCATGTGTACTTGACATTTCAGCATATGTACAATTACAGTATTTTGCTCGTTGTAAGTACACTTTAGCACACACTAAATAAAAAATAAAAAAGCACATATATTGTACTATGGATATATATGCATGCATATGTGTATTATAAATATTCAGATATTGTACATATAGAGGTATGTTTGTATAGATCATGTAATCACGTGCAACAATAGCGTGGCATATTTTTTATGGAGTGGGAGTTTGCTACGGCGCATAAAAAAGCGAAACTTATACAACAAAGGTTCAGTTTGGAAAGAAATTGTATAAAAAACTAAATGATTGATTTTTGTATGATTTTATAAGAATGCTATTACATTTTACATTGAGCAAGATCGACTGTATGAATGATTGTAAGCGAGTGTCAACTCGCGAAAGAACGAGTGTTGTGGCAAGTAAAACATTGAAGTTCACTTCACCTCAACGCGGCCASTACAACTATTAACTTTTTGTTGCTTTTGTTGTTGGTGGCTTATAAAAACGCAGCTTTATGACACTTTTACATCTCTGTAATGGACAAATAGTGATTTTCATGCACTACAGCGCCGCCACACTTACAAAAAAAAAATTGCAAAAAAATCTGTTTCCTGAAACAAGAGCCACCTCAAGCATTTAATAATTTTTTGCCATCACGACTTTTAACTTAAAAATAAGTAAAGCAAAAAAATATTTGTTTGTCTTGCTAAAGTTGCTCGCGTCCGCGCCGATGCCGACCGAAATRCAGCGCGAAAAAGTACATAACTGCATCAGCGCACAGCAACAGCAAATCAAGCGTGCGAAGTAAACAACTCAATGTCGGAAAAATTTAAAAAAAGTGCAGAAAAAGGCTGCGTTTACTTTTTGTTGTTGCTACTGCATTTTTTTTTTTTTTGGTGTTTTTATTCTTTGCTTGTTTTCTTGCTTCTGGCCACAAATGTGTCAAAAATCTGACAATGGAAACACACCCTTGAGTAGCACTTGTGTTGCTGTAACACATGAGCGTAATGGCGCCAAAGCGGAGGCGTGATTGTCAGTGAAGCTGGTTGTTTGGTCAAAGTTGCCAACTAAGCAAAAATTCATATTTATTTTTATGAAAATATCTTTCTCAAAAAGCTCAAGCTCAAAAGTCATGTAAACTGAATTTTTGAAAGCATACAAAATTTTATTTTTATATTCATAATATTTCTTTTCTGAGCGTAATGGCGCCAAAGCGGAGGCGTGATTGTCAGTGAAGCTGGTTGTTTGGTCAAAGTTGCCAACTAAGCAAAAATTCATATTTATTTTTATGAAAATATCTTTCTCAAAAAGCTCAAGCTCAAAAGTCATGTAAACTGAATTTTTGAAAGCATACAAAATTTTATTTTTATATTCATAAWATTTCTTTTCTCAAGGGTCGTTTAGTTCAATTTATACCCGATCTTTTAATATGTAGAACATTTTTTGAAGTCGTATATTCTGCATTTTGATTCAATACATCTTGCCACCTTTCGGTCAACAGATAAAGTATGAGTTCCACGATCATAAAATGATTGTTGGTTTCTAGATTTTAGGCGAAGGTTCTGTGATAACAAAAAGTTTTGCAGAGACCGGAACGAGGTGCCAAGTCKTAAGAATATAATGTGTGTGGTAGCAAAACCCATTCAAGCAGCAGAAGCAATTGAGTCGTCATCAAACTTAAATGAGGTCTTGTATTATCCAGAAATACTACAAATTTTCTATGTACATATGAATTCTGACCTCGACCTCTTTTGAGTGTGTCACTCAATTTGTTTAGCTCATCACGATAGACTTCAGAATTAATCGTGGTACTATCGKGCAAAMTAAACGATCCCTTTGAAATAACACCAAAGAGACAACATAACTTTTTGTTTGATGACATCATTCTTCGAAGTGGTTTGAGCTGGTTYATTTTGTTTCGAGCAAGATCTCTTGCGTTTTACATTCTTTTAAACAAGCCACTTTTCGTTGCCAGTAAAAATGCGCTTCACTTCTTTGACTTGTGATAAATCACAGTCGTTAATGCGACGAAGCAAATTTCGTTCTGTAAGCGAAAACCACATATCAAGTTTTGAAAATAATTTTAGACGTGTCATGTGCTTACACATTTAATCTATCAGCAATCCCTCGCATTGTTATTGAACGATTTGCACCGACTATTTATCCACATCTTTTCATAACGTGGTGCATTCGCAAGATCGAAATATCGGGACGAGCGCACTGACGTTCGAACRCCATATGCTCTCCGTACTAACATAATTTTCGTCTTCGCATTTTAACACTTTTGGAACCCGAAAAATGATATTGGTATTGGTAATTGTATTAGTAATGGTAATGAATTGGTAATTGTAATTTTAATAATCGGTCTCCAAATTAAGCAAAATTTTAAAAGTATAGAACTGTATTTAAAATACACCTTAATACAGAGTTGCTACTTGTTTCAAGAAATATTTCAAAAAAAAAAAAAAGTATTTTTAATTTAAATTTAAT